CGCGTTGAAGCCAGCGTCTTTCTTAGCTCTTTGTCTGGAAGCGCAGCTCCCACTTGCTCCCGCACACGGAGCCGGGAGGAGGCTCAGCTACCTGAGTGGGCAGGTAAGCTCCTGGGCAACCTGGGGCCCACACCCCCTCCCAGAAATGTGGGGCTGCCCCCCCCATGGGGGACAGGGCTGCTGAAGGGGTGGCGACAGCCCAGGGGAAGAGCCCCCTCCGGCCAAACCCTCTGTCCCCAGGGGAGGAGCAGCAAAGCATGGCCAAGGGGACAGGAACTTATGTTCTGCTTAGCACAAGGTGCTGGGAGCCTGGAAGACCACAGACCTTTAAAAAGCCCTGGTAAAGGGATGCTTTGCAACCTACAGAAACGGCCACTGGCCTGGCTGAGAGCGGCTGCTTTAATAAATGTGCTAAGGAGCCCTTCAGTGTCAGCTCTGTGCTGCCAGCTTTTGCAGCTCCACAGCTCTCCTCTTGTGCTCAGGGAGGATTCAAGCAACCTCTCTGCTGTTTCTGCCAGCCCCTGGGGGCCACCAAGCCCCAGCTGCAGCACACAGCATCCCACGGCACCTCAGCCGCATCCCAGGCGTGGGTGGCAGCAATCCATCACCAGCCCCATCAGGAGCTGCTCCGGGCATCTCCCCCGCCTCGCTGCCTCTCAGCCAGGCTGGTGACACCTCCTCCTCCTAATCTGGGGGCAGGCAGGCAGCTGAAGGATGTGGTGCCCCCCCCTGCCCCCGATCACAGATGAGCCGTGGGTATGTTTGGGACCATCACAGCGCGGGCTGTTGGCATTCAGGCAGCTCAAGGGTAGTGACAGTGCCCAGGTCTCAGCCACCCCTGTTCACAGCCTGCCAGCTCTGGGACACCGTGCCAGCCCCATGCTGTGACCTCCCCGCCTGCACCGCACCACATCCACCCCTGCGGGAACCTGCCATCCCCAGGTGTGTGACCACATCTCAAGGGGCCAAGTAGGTCCATCCCCAGCCTTTTGCCTTCCAGACTGCACCCAGGGCTGTGGGGCAA